AAACCAAGGAAACAATAAATAATAACTGCCTTTCCTTAACTAAAGCTAAATAGGAATGACACATAAACTAATCACAAATCTAAAATGAGACAAATACAAAATGAACTCAGAGCGCCGGGTCAGAGACCCAGCCTGTGACAGTCAGAGGCCATAAGAAGATCATTTGTAACCTTCACTAAAGCTGTTTCTGTGCTGTGAACTCTATGAGTAGTAAGCAAAGTTTATTTATTAAGTTTATTTATTTATTAAGCACTTTTCACAGAGCCTCTGTACACAAAAGGGTAAAATAAATCTGAACATTAAGTGCTAAAATATTCAATAAAAAGATTTGATAAAACAAAATAAAATAAACAGGTAGTTTTAAAATAAATAAATAAACCTATAATCATTCCAATAAAAGTTCTGAAGCCTGTTTAAACAAAGATTTTAACTACTTTTTAAAAGAGTCCACTAAGTGTAGTTGTGGTGGTAGACTGTTCTACAGCCTTGGTGAAAGCCTCTGTCCCCCCTCGTCTTTAGTCATTTACAGGGAACAACCAACAAATCCTGTCTGTGAATGAAGAAAGAAAGCAATGATTTGTCCAAGCTGGAAAACAGGTTATTACAATAGTCTAAAAATAACTTAGAAATGTTACTTAAATGAAATGAACAGCAATGTGATGAAGATTTTATATGCAAGTCGAAGCCAGAGAAGAATCCAATATTGCACCCCGTATATGGCTCAACTCCTTGAACGGTCCACCATATACAAGCACAGGTGAGCCCATAAATGGCAGGAAGTAAACATTCATTACTACATAAGGAAACCAGAATCTTACATGCAAGTGTGCCTGCAGTTAAACACTATAGCTAATAGCATCCCCCACCATGCTAGATGTAGGGATGCAGTTCAAGAAAAGGTTTACAGTTTTAAACACAACAACGACAACTTTTATCAGAATCACTTCAACAGAGGCAATGGTTTGTTCTAACAGAGACCTATCAGATAAGTAAGAAGAAAACCAGTCTAAGGCAGAGCCACATACACCAGCCTGAACCTCAAGCCTGTAAGGCAGAATGTTATGGTAAATGGTATGAAAGGCTGCACTAACACTGGACAGAATGATAGCAGAACAGTCCCCTGCATCAGAAACCATTCAAAGATCATTACAGATTCATTAGTAAAGACCTGATTTTCTACAGTTGAAACCTGACTGAAACTCTTCCAATAAGCCATTCCTCTGCAGATGATCTGTTAGCTGTTGACAACTACTGTTTCAAGAATCTTTGCGATGACATGAAGGCTGGGGATTGGCCTATAATCAGCTAAGACAGCTGGGACAAGGGATTGGTTTTAAGTAATGTTTAACAACTGCCATCTCGAAGGCCTGTGGCTTGTAGCCGATTATTAGAGACAGGTGGATCACATTGTCACCGCTGTGCTGTCTTCTAGGTGTCTCTGTTCTCCCTGATGGGCAACATGCTTGGATACACCAGCCGGCCTCTGAGAGCTCTGAGGACTCTGAGGGTCCCGTCTCGCTTCAAGGGCATGAGGGTGAGGCAGGCACTCATACAGATACAGACATTGCCGAGCAGGATGTAGGTGTACTCCTCTGCTAGAGAAAGAAGATCAAATATTTATAAAATTCTTTACTTGTTAAATGATTTGTAGGGTTTGTGTGATTTTCTCTTTTGCTCTACTCATCATTATGTTCCCTTTTTAGGAGATTTGACTCCTTAGGGTGTGTCTGTTATTTCCCATAGACACTGAAAGTTTGTCCTATCCATCATCATTCTCCTTATTTGCAGGGCCTCTATCCCTAACAGTTTCTTCAATCTCACCCAACTCGGGGAGCGTTCGTCAAACAATCTTTGTTTTCTTATTTCTCGGTTGTCCTTCCTACAGACGTGGCCCAGGTATTTTAATCGCTGGTGTAAGCAGAAGGACTTCATCACTTTTGTCTCAGTAATGCGTGCAGGTCTGCATTTGTGAGTTTTAATCGCCAACCCGTTATTCAGCCTCCCAAATCTGCATGACCACACAAAAAGAACACACTTTGACGTTCATAGGAAAGTTTTTCCATACTTAAGGAGGTTACTCCACAGACTGGCGGCTGTGCTCCGTTTGCTCAGCCAATCACAAGACTGGGTTCCCCAGGGTGTAGCTGTCCTAATGACAGAGGTGTGAGA